CGCAGCTTGGATTGCGTTGCCCAGGGGGGGTCGGAGATGCGCCTTCGTTTTTTTATATTCTTCTTTTTTCCCCCCATGGCCAAAGCTTCGCCCAGCCTTGCCTTTGCACGGGTTCGGGGGCGTTTCAGAAGGTACCTCCCGCCCCGCCCCTTTCCTGTCGCAGGTGGGGCTTTGACGACAGGGGCCCGACATGCGCTTGGCGCGTGCGCGCGGAACACGTGTTTTCACATGTTTCGGGCCGCGACGGGGCTGCGAGGGAGTGGCCCAACTAGCAGGTGGCGAAGTTTTTGGCGCGTGAGAGTGTGTGTGTGTGTGTGTGTGCGGAGGGGGGGCGACATGCCCTTGGCGCGTGGGTACGGGGCATGTGTTCTCACGTTTCCACGGGGCCCAAGGCGGCCCAGCTTGGGGGTGGGCGAGTTCTTTTGTTGGCATGTAGAATTCGGTGCCCAGAGGGCGCGGATCAGCAGAAAAGGAGGGTCGCAGCGTGCGCCTGGTGCGGGCGCGTGGAGCCCGTGTTTTCACGTGTTTCGGGCCACGTCGGGGCTGCAAGCGAGGGGCCCAGTTGGCAGGTGCCGAGCTCTTTGCACGTGCAAATACATGCGCGGAGGAGGGGGCCCACATACCCCTGCATCTGAGCCGCGCACGGTCGTCGTCGCCGCCCTCGTCGTTCCTCGTCGGCATGGCCGCCGACGGACAGGGTGGAGGAGGAGGGGGAGGAGGAAGAGGGGGGGAGGAGCAGGAGAAGGAGGAGGAGGACGAGGAGGAGGAAGAGGAGGAGAAGGAGGAAACGGAGGAGGAGGGGGAGGAGGAGGAGGAAGAGGAGGAGGAGGGGGAGGAGGAGGAGGAGGAGGAGGAGGAGGGAGAAGGCGACGACGCAGGATTATATTATTGAGGATGGCTATGCTGGTAATGACTGTGGCAATGATTCGGATGATGATGACGATGATGATGTTGATGATGGTGATGCTGATTATGAATATGATGCTGGTGATGATGATGATGATGATGATGCTGATGCTGATGATGATGATGATGCTTATGATGATGATGATGATGATGATGATGATGATGATGATGATGATGATGATGATGATGATAATGAGGATGATGATGAGGATGATGATGATAATGATGATGGTGCTGATGATGATGGTGGTTGTGGTGGTGATGATGATGCTGGTGGTGGTGATGATGATCATGATGGCGATGATGGTTTTCGGCGCCCATTTGGTTTGTGGTGTTCTTTTTTTGTTTTCGGCGTCCGTCTGGTTCTCGGTGCCTCCTGAGCTTTCCGCGCTCTATCGGGTTTCGGAACCATTTTGGCTTTCGGACCCCTTTTGGTTTTCGGAACTCTGCTTTGGTTTTCAGGGCCTCGTCGCTTTCGATTCCCCCGTTTGGTTTTCGGCGCTCCTTTGGTTTTCGGCGGCCTCTTTGGGTTTTGGGCACGCCGCTGCTTTTCGGCGTGTTCTGGGTGTTCGGCGATTTTTTCTTCGGCGCGTCCTCTTGTTTTGCTGTGCTCTTTTGGTTTTCCGTGCCCTTGTGCTTTTCGGCGCTCCTTTGGTTTTCGGCGCCGTTGTGGTTGCCAGCGCCTCTTTGGTTTTCGGCGTCCTTGGGGTTTTCGGTGTTCCTTTGTTTTCGGCGCTTCCTTGGTTTTTGGTGTCTTTTTGGTTTTCGGTGCCGTCTTGTTTTTTTGTCCGCGCTCTTTTGGTTGTTGGGCGCTCCTTGTTGTTTCCAGCGCTCTTGTAGATTTCGGCGACCCTTTGGTTCTCGTTACCCTTCTGGTTTCTGGCGCATCGTTGGTGTTCGGCGTCCTTTTGGTTTTCGGCGCTTCTTCTGTGTTCGGCGCCCTTCTGTTTTTTTCGGCGCCCTTGTGTTTTTCGGCTCCTCTTTGGTTTTGGGCTCGCTTTTGGTTTTGGGCGCTTCTGGTGTTCGGCGCACCTTCGATTTTCGGAGCTCCGATGGTTTTCGGCACCCTTTTGGTTTTCGGCTCCCTTCTGGTTTTCGGCGCCCTTTTGATTTTCGGCGCCCCTGTTGTTTCGGCGCCCTGTTGTTTTTCGACACCCATGTTGTTTTCTGCGTACAATTTGGCTTTCGACGACCTGTTGGTTTTCGGCGCGTTTGTAGTTTCCGGCGCCACTTTTGTGTTCGGCGCCTTTTTGATCTTCGGCGCTTTTTTGGTTTTCGGCGCCCCTTTGGTTTTCCAGTTTGGTTGTCGGCGCTCTGTTGTGCCTTTTTGGCTTTCGGTGTTCTTTTGTTTTTCGGTGTGGTTTTCGGCTCCTGTTTGGCTGTCGGCGCTGTTTGGTTTTCGGCGCTCCTGTGGGTTTCGGCGCCCGCCCTCTTCGTTTTCGGCGCCCCTTGTGGTTTCACGCGCCCCTTGGTTTTCGACGCCTCTTGGGTTTTCGGTGACCTTGTGTGTTCGGCGGTTCTTTGGTTTTCGACGCTCATTTGGTTTTCGGTGTCCTTTTGGTTCTTTGCACCCCTTTGGTATTGGCCGCCCCTTTTCTCGGCGCCCTTTTGAAGTTTGACGCTCCTTTTGTTTTCGTCGCCCTTGTGGTTGTCGACGCCCTTTCGTTGTCGGCGCTCCTTTGGGTTTCAGCGGGAAGCTACATGGAACCGAACACCAACAAAAAGGCGCCCCAAACCACAGGGGCGTCGAGAACCAGAAAGGCGCCGAACCCCAAAAGGCGCCGAAAACCAAAGGGGCGCCGCCATCCAACAAGACGCCGAACACCAGAAGGGCGCCGAAAGCAACATGTGCGCCGACAACCAACGGGGCACCGAACACCACAGAGGCGCTGAGAGCGCCGACAACAAAAAGAGACGCAGCAAAAACAAAAAAGGAACCGATACAAAAACAAGGCCGCGCCGAAAACCACAAGGGCGCCGAAAACCAAAGGAGCGCCGAAAACCAAGGGAGCGCCGAAAACCAAGCGAGCGCCGAAAACCAAGAGGGCGCCGAAAACAGAATGGACGCCGAAAGCCATAGGGGCGCCGAAAACCCCAACAGGCACCGAAAACAAAAAGAGGCGCCGAAAACACCACGCCGAAGACCAAAGAGGTGTCGACAATCAATAGGTACCGAACACCAACTAGGCGCTCTTTTCGTTTTTGGCGCCCCTTTTGTTTTCTGCACGCCTTTTGAATTTGGCGACCTGATGGTTCGCGGCGCCCTTTACGTGCGCTTTCTTGGTTTTCGGGGCCCGTTTGGTTTTCGGCGCCCGTTTGGTTTTCGGCGCTCTTTTTGGTGGCGCCCCTCTGATTTTGGCGATTTTTTGGTTGTCGGCGTATCGTTGGTTTTCGGCGCCCTTTTGGCTTTCGGCGCCCGCCTCTTACAGGGGGGGGGCGGGGCAGCTTCCGGGGGGCGGTAAAAAAGGAGGGGGTCAGGTGGGCTTCAGTCAGGGGAAGTCCGGAGGGGGGGGAGGTGAGCCCTCCCCCCCGGCCCCCTTTGGAAAGGGGGGGGGGCGCTTCTGGCAGGGGAGGTCCAGGAGGGGGGGTAGGTAAGCCCCCCCTCCCCTTTGGAAAGGGGGGGGCGGTATATCCGCGAGCGCGAAAGTGTGGGGAGAGGGGGGCTTCCCAGGGGCGGGAAGAGAGGAGGGGGCAGGGGGGGGCTTCCAGCAGGGGCGGTCCAAGGGGGGGAGGCGGGCGCGCTTTCTCACGATTCGTGTGCTTCGCCCCAGCCACGAGAGCGCGCGAGCGGGTTGCCCCTGCCGCGCTGCGACGGAAAAAAATGGTGGACCTTCGTCCATGCACCCACTGTGCTTTGACGTTCCGAGGCCCCGCGCTGGAATCCGAGCGCGTTCGAAACGCGCGCCCGCGTGCTTGTAGTCACCTGTGGAAGGTTGGCTCACATGGAAAATCGCGGCTCGGTTGCGCGGCGGGGTGCCTGCCGCAGCATCTGTTTGCACACATTTTACACGTTGTTTCGTGAGCCCCACATGAGTTCAGCAAATGCCCACATGGCAGGGTCCGCATGCCTGCACACGCTCGTTCTGGCACACCCCGCGCACGATTCGTGGCCCCGTAGGAGCGCCAAAGAAGGCCCCAGAGGCAGAGCTCGTATGCGTGACAACGGCCCTTCTGGCAAAATCCTCATACATTTCGTGGCCCCACGGGAGCTCCACAGAAAACGCTCACGGCAGGGTTCGTATGCTTGCCCACGCCCAGTCTGGCACACCCCTCATACAGGAGCCGCACGGAAGTCCCCAGTTGCAGGGTCCGTACGTGTGGCCACGCTCATGCTTGCACACCACTCACACGATTCGTGGCCCCATGCGAGCTCCACAGAAAGCCCAAGCCGAAGGGCTTGTATGCCTGTCCGAAGGGTTCGTATTCGTGGCTCCATAGGAAGCTTCACCGCATGCCCCGGTGGCAGCGCCAGCACTCGGACTCGGACCCATTATGTCACACGGGGCCTCCTCTATACTGGGACCCCATCGGGAGCTCCACCGAAGACTCCAGTGGCAGCGTCCACATGCGGACTCGGGTCCATGTTGGTTGACCCCTCACTCGTTTCGTGGCTCCATAGGGAGCTCCACGGAAGGCCTTAGTTGCAGCGCCCGCATTGCTCGAGTTGCATGCATTCTGTGGCGCGCTGGCTGGAAGGAGAAGCCATATGGTATGCCATATACCACTCGTAGTTTGATTGTCCGTCTCCTTCGTATCGACTGCCTTGCGGTTTTCGCAGCTGCACATGTGTGGGTCTTTCGTGAGGTCAGTTTTTGAGGGCTGCATGCTTAAGCGTTGTATAGTGTGTCTAGACCCTGTCCTTATCAGGATGCGACTTAATTCATCTTGGGGTGATTCTGGCGCCCACGGGGGTTTCATCTGAGTTCTGCATCGTTGGTGTGGCTGTTCGGACTGCTGCGAGTTCATCAGATACCAGAGCGTTTGTGAGCCCCTCCGAAAGTATGGCAGTGCAGCTGGCGCCGAGCGGTGGCGGTCTCTTTGCTGTTGTTGCGTTTCTGGGCTCTCCATAGCCAGCGCCCTGACCCCTCGGCAAGGAGAGGGTGTCCACTCTGGACAACCAGCTTTTCAACCTCATGGACGAGGAGCTCGGGTAGGTGACAGTTGGCCCCACTATTTGGCAGAATGCAAGAAGGGGCGGGGCTTGCGGCTGTCGTTCTCCAGCACCTGCCTGCCTGCCTCGGATCGCGATTACGCACAGCTTTCGGAGTCCACTGTAAAGCCGTTGCTCGTGGGCGTGCGAGGTGAGGTGATGTTCGGATGATTCACGGCATGCTCGCGCTTCGCTCAAACAGTGGCGGCGCCAGCTCGG